ATCCATCCACCTTTCCATCCATCCATCCATCTGTCCGTCTGTCTATCCATTCATTCATCCATCCATGCATCCATCTGTCCGTCCGCCCATGCATCTCTCCATTCGTCTGTCTGTCCATTCACCTATCCATCCATCCATCCATCCATCCATCCATCCATCCATCCATCCATCCTTCCATTTATCTGTCCATCCATCCATCCATCCATCCATCCATCCATCCATCCATCCATCTCTCTGTCCGTCCATCCATCCATCCATCCATCCATCCATCCATCCATCCATCTGTCCGTTCATCTGTCTGTCTATCCATCCATCTATCCTCCATCCATCCATCCATCCAGCCAGCCATCTGTCCATCCATCCATCCATCCATCTGTCTGTCTGCCCATCCATCTGCCCCTCCATCTAACTGTTCATCCATCCACCTTTCCATCCATCCAACCCTCCATCTGTCTATCCATTCATTCATCCATCCAACTATCTATCCATCTGTCCATCAATCTATCTGTCCATCTGTATATCCATTCCCCCCAATCAGTTCAACCAGTGTTTACTGAGCACCTACTTTGTCTCAGGCCCTGACAAGCAGCAAGAGGCATCCTCTTCCCCCAGGGACACAGACATTAAGGAGCAGTTACAACCTCATGTGATGAGCACCAGGATGGGGGTAGCAGAGGGGGATGGGGAGGATGTTCTGCAGGGTGCCCCAGGCCAGGATGCCCCCCGAAGCCTTGCTCAGACACTGAGGCCAAGTCGGCTGAACTCTAACGGGCCTGGCCTCTCTGTCCACACCTGACCCCAGGGTGCAGGCGAAAGGGCCAGGTCACTGTTGGAAAGGCCGTGGCTTCATGGCTGCAGAGCACCAACCCCAAGGCAGCCTGGTGGGCAGGGGGGGTGAGGCAATAGCCCATATCCCTATTACAGAGTCAAGTAACGTCCCCAGACCCGCAGAGAGGAGGGCACTGGTCCAAGACCACACAGCGGGCGAGGGGGTCTGGGCAGAGCAGGCAGGCAGGCTTGGGAATGATGGGGGCGCTACTCACAGCTGGAGTCTGCTAGTCTAGGGCAGTGCCCGCCCCAGCTGCAGTAATGGGAATCAGCTGTGCCACCCTGCAGTAACCCTTCCCCGGCCTTGGGAACCGGCTGTGCTGAGCCCAGCCAACCTTCCCATCACCCGCTTTCCTGCCAGCAGGGGTTGCTCACGGAAGCTCCTGGGCCAGAACACTCACTAGGCCACGCCTGCCTTTAGGAAATCCATGGGTCCCCCTGGCATCTGGGGGCTTCACACACTGCCAGTTCTGATGCCTGGCCCCAGCCTGGGGGTTGGAATTCCTGTGTCTGTGTCAGGAGAGGACAGGGAGGCCCAGGGAAGTGCCAGCCTTGCCCCAGCCACAGTCACCACCATGCTGAGTCCTGTCCAGGAGTTTCTGTCGCTGGGCACTGCTGTTGGCCTGGAGGAAGCTGGTTCCCAAGACACTGAGCGGGGCCACTCTCCATCAGCCGATGAGTGGACAGGCGCCTCGGATGGCTTCCTGCCGAGTTAATGGGTCACCCATTATGTCTCCACAGATCTTCCCAGGACCCTGCAGGAGGGCAGGCCGCAGCAGCCCCAAGGAACAGCCCGGGGGAGGGAAGGCAGATGGCCGCCTCAAAGCCAGCCCCGAGTCCTTCCCCTCTAGGCCTGAGTGTCAAGGGCAGATCCAGCCCATGGCTTTGGGGACCTGGTGGCACTGACTCCAGCAGGAGATCCCTGGGCTGAGCCCTGGCAGGTAGGGGAGGCCTGGACTCATGGGGACAGAACACTGTCTCAGCCTGATGGTGGCTCGGGGAGGAGGGTAGGGCCCCTGGTCATGTAGGTCCTGGCCCCGTGTGCCTGCTCTCCACCTGACCTCAGCAGGCAGGTCTCTTGGGCCATTCGTGCACCCAGCTGCCCTGGAGCCCCAAACTGGGACTGGTGGAGGGGCCCTGCGGAGGGGAAGGCTGGGGTCCAAGAAGGCCATGAAGCCATGTGCCAGGGCCAGAGCTGGTCTGCCTGGTCTGGATGGTATGTCATCCTTGTATTACAAGTGGGGAAACTGAGGTTTGGGGAGTAACATCACAGGTTCAAGGTCTTAAAGCTGAGAAGTGGCCCCTCTGGGTTTGGAAGGCAGGCTGGATCCTGGGGCAGCCTCTACCCCCAGCCCCTCTTCCCCAGGACCCTACGGCCCCAAGAGGCTTCCCTGGCAACCCGGTCAGCCCTCTCTGTCCTCTCCCCAGCTCCCCTTGTCCTGTCCAGGGCTGAGCACCGTCCCACAGCCCACTTCCCTAGCAGGGCTGTATGGCCCAGCGGGCCCCTAGAGGGAGACCTGGGGTCTGGAGGGGGAGGGGAGTGTTTCAGGCTGAAGCTGAGCCTGGGGAAGCAGGCGGGGGTGGCTAGACGGGCCACCCCCTCAACAGTTTTCAGACCTCAAGGAGTCACCATGAAATTCCATTCTCCTGACAGCAAAGAAATTGATTCACTCTTGCCAAAGCCTGCGGCCCCCACAAGAATGCTGTAAAGCTTCCTCCCGCTGCTTCCAGACAGGCAGCAGCATCAGGTCCCCCACTCCTCCATTCCTGACCACACAGAGACGCGGAACCTCCGTACCCAGTTCTATGCATGTGCCCCTGCCAGGCTGGGCCATTCACCTCTGTATAGTCACTCCCTTGGCACAATATCTCCCTTGCTTTCTGTACAATGGGCACCTTGCTCCCACGACCTGCTGGGTCAAAGGCACCGCAGTCAGGGGTAGTTGGGGAGCAGGGGTGGTGGGGGTCTCAGGGCAGGAAGTCCCACCCCCTGGCCAGGGAACTGTGGAGAGACGGACTCACAGCACCTTGTCAGGTGGGGTGCAGGGTGGCACGGCACCCACCATCGGTGCCACTGATGTAAAGTCCAGATACAAAGCACAGCCCATCCAAAGATTTGGGGGCTTGGTCATGCTTGGCTGCTGGGGAATGAGGAGGGATTGGGCCTCAAGAAACAGAGCTAGGACTAAGTCACGAGGTGTGTGGACATCAGGCGGGACTTGAACTCAGCCAGTGGAGAGCTATGGAGGGTTTTGTTCTTCATGTGGGTGTGTGAGTGGCTATGATCCTAGCGTGGAGAATAAGCAAAGCAAGTAGGATAGGAGTGGGTGGGACAGGAGTGGAGGCTGCCTAAGAGATCCAGGGAAGAGATGGCTCCGTCTCTGAAACAATGCAGATATGGGAGAGGCTGAAGTGATCGGTGTGAAGCACGTGGGGGCATGGAGACCCCTCAGTCCGGAGGCTGGAGCTGGGCTGGGGCTCAGCTGACTTTTGTGGGGGCAGCCAACCCAGCCACTGGGTCCTTTCTCCCCGCCTCACCCTCAAGCCTCTCCAGCTGCCTGGAGGCTCCAGGGCTAGGCTCTGGCTGATCAGGGAGGGGTTTATGGCAGGAGGTGACGCCATGGGAGACTTGTCACTTGGGCACAGCCAGCACCATCTGCTGGGGCATCTGCCTTCGGAGGTGGTGACTGCTAATTACCTGGGGCCAGGAAGAGGCCTGGGAACCCCCTTCCCCCACACCGCCCAGCCGGTACAGGGGCTAGGGGTGGGGCCCCTGGGGCCCTAAGAGCAAATGGGCTACATCGTCCTTAGAGGGGGTCTGACAGTGAGGCCAGACATTTATCCAGTGAATTTTTTCAGAGCACCTACGATGTCCCAAAACCTGTTCCAGGTCGGGATGACATGAGGTCGCTGCTGTCTTGCGGCTGACGTTCAGGTAGAGGAAAGGAGAGGAGCGCCAAGGGGCACTTAAATAATTTAAAATGCCATCTCAGGCGTGAACATAACTGTCAGCGTCCGAGGGGAGCAGTTTAGCCACGGTGGTGGTGGCGATGGTGGTCGTGGTGGTCGCAGAGACCGTGCTTAGGAGGGCACGGGAAGGCAGCGCAGCCACGCGCAGAGCCACGCCCGTCCACGCTTCCGGAGGACGTGGCGGGCAGGGGGCTCACACCCTGCTCAGGGGACCCTTGGCCACTTCCGGGCCCCTCGCCCCTCACCCTCGGCTGCCGGCGCGCATTCCTGCCGCCCCCGCTCGTGTGAGGGGCGGGCCCGGGCCCGGGCCCGTGGGAAGGGCCGGGGGTGGGGGCCGTGTGCCGGGGAGGCGGGCCGGGAGGGCGCACAGCTGGGCCGCATCTGGCCCGAGCGCAAGGAGACCAAATGGGACAGAAGGCGGCCTTTCATCGGGCGAGGGAAGTGGCGGCCTTCGTTTCTCCTCGCCACGGGGTGCCTGAGGATTTCGGGGAGCCAACCCGCCCGACGGAGGGCCGGGACTCGAGGAAATTAGCCCAGGAGGAAGGAATGGAATTTGGTTCTGGTGCTTTCTCGCCAGAACCTCGTGTCCCCACCTGCAGCACAGGTGGCCAAGCTCTTGCTCTGTACAAATAACGGCTCCCCTGAACCAAGCGCTCGGGAAGACCCAGTCGCCACCCCGGTTTGCAGGGCCTGCCGCGTCCCAAGGGGAGGAAGCCGGGCTCGGGAGGGGAAGGGCACAGCGAGGAAGTAGGATGTCCCCCGCGGTCCGTCGGAGCCCAGAGCCCGAGGCCCAGCACCCTGCCCGCTGCGCCAAGGGTGCGCCCCTCCCGTGCGCGGACGCCCGGTGCATCCCCGGCCGGCGCTGGCCAGGCTAGATTTCCTCTTCAGGGACACCGGCGCCGTCCGGGCCCAAGTCCCCAAGCCCCTCCGCAACCCGCAGGGGCTACCCGAGGAGGGCGGGGCGTGCACGTGCGCGCCGGAGGCGGGGCCGTAGCGCCCTCTGGGTCGTTCCCAGCCCCCAGCCGCGGCCCCACGTGGGTCTGCGGGCCTGGAGCCTCGACTGGCGCGAGGCCCCGCCCCCGAGCCAGGGAGCCAATGAGCGCGCGGGGGCGGGACCGGGGCGGGGAGGTTTAAGAGCTCCGGGCGCTCGCGCTGCGCTGCTGTACTGCGCCGCCGGAGCGAGGCGCGTCGGGGCGGTGCACGGCAGGCGCACGGGGCAGGGCGCGCCGCGCGGCCGCCGCCACACCATGCTCAAGCGCTGCGGCCGGCGCCTGCTGCTGGCGCTGGCTGGCGCGCTGCTCGCCTGCCTGCTAGTGCTCACTGCCGATCCGCCGCCGCCCCCGCTGCCCGCCGAGCGAGGCCGGCGCGCGCTGCGCAGCCTGGCGGGCCCCGCAGGGGCTGCCCCGGCGCCTGGGCTGGGGGCGGCGGCGGCGGCGCCCGGGGCGCTGGCCGGCGAGGTGCACAGTCTGTCCGAGTACTTCAGCCTGCTCACTCGCGCGCGCAGAGACGCGGGCCTGCCCCCCGGGGCCTCCCCCCGCCCCGCCGACAGCCACCCGCGTCCCCTGGCCGAGCCGCTCGCGCCCCGAGACGTCTTCATCGCTGTCAAGACCACCAGAAAGTTCCACCGCGCGCGCCTCGACCTGCTGCTGGAGACCTGGATCTCGCGCCACAAGGAGATGGTGAGCCCCTGGCGGCCTGGAAGGACGGGCGGGCGGGGCGGGGCCCCACCGTCTGGTCCAGTTGGTGGCAGCGTCCCATGGGGGCCAGGCTGCATCCCCATCCAATCACTAGGGCCATCTGGGGGCGGCGACGCCAGTGCACCCCGGTGCAGCCAGTTTGCCTGCTGGGGCCAATTTCCCGTTACAGTTGTGTGACTGTCCCCGGGGCCTCACCCCCTGTCCAGCTCCAGACTCCTGGATGGCTGCAGGACCCTACACCAGTCTCTAGTGCTTGGGGTTGGTGCCCTGTGGTACTTCTCACCCCCAAACATTGGAGCGCATGCATAGGGCATTACGCCTTCAAACTTCCCCAAGCAGATTCTGTTCGGATCCACCCTCAGCTCAGACCCCTTCCTGGGGAGAAAGGCTCTTCCTTTAGAGAAGTGAGGAGTTCTGACCCCGGGCCTTTTCTTCATCACCGCGTTAAGGTGCGGGGAGGGAAATCATTGCTGGTTGGTGGGTCCTGGGGAGTACATCTCAAAGAACCCCGGGTTTGGGGTCTGTGTGGGGACCCTCCCCGCACAGTGCAGGAGTCTCTGAGGCCTGCAACCTTGGGCACAACCCACTTCAGTTGGGCATCAGCTTCTTACACACACATAATTAAGACACACCCCACTTTGAAAATTTCCCTCGAGGCCACAGCAGGACGGTTGGGCTGGGGCGGGATGGGGACAGTGTGTGGGGCTTGCAGTCGGGAGTGGAGGGGGGCATCTCTGGGCTGGGAGTTGCAGAGGCATTTGCTGTGAGGGTGGGGGCTCAGGGAAGACCCCGCACGCCTTTCTCCCTGCTCAAACCCGGGAGACTCAGGGCCTTCTGGCCTGGCACTGCCCTGTTTTGGGGCACTGTGGGTGGGTGGGAGCAGGGCTTGGTGAGGTCATGAGGGGGACGGGGAGGGGCAGGGTCCTCTCTGGTCCTGGCGTGGGGAAGGGGCCCTGGGAACCCCATGGCAGCCTCCTGGGAACACAGCGTCCCATTCCCAGGGGCTCAGCGGGCTGGCGGGAGGGGGTGGCGGGGGCCGTGGGTTTTGTTTGGCGGCCGGGCCGTTAGGATTCCCAGCGCCGGGCGGCTCTCACGCCGGCCCCTTGGGCAAGGTAACAAAGCCCCTTTCTCCAGCGAGAAAGGCGTCGGGCCCCTTGTGTGCAGCTACGCGCTCCGTGGGAACCGCTGTTGGCGTGCTGGCCACTCAGGTTGCCTGGCGATGAGGGGCCAGCGCCTCCCCCCCCCCCGCCAGCATCTCTTCCTGACAGTCCTTTTGGGGCACCTTCCCCGAGCCTGGCCCCCCACCCCCAGCACTCAAGCCTTCCTGCTATGTGACCTTGGGCATCCTTCAGCCCCACTCTGGGCTGCCACCAGCTCTGAGCACCTCCCATCTTGGAATTTGGGACCTTTCTTCAGCAGAGGGGATGTTGTCAGAGGGTCTCAGTTATCGGTCTCAGCTGGGCTGTGTGATCCTGAGTAAGACCTGGAGCCTCTCAGACCCTTACTCTCATCTCTGAAATGGGGGAACATGGTCCTTCCAGGAGCATGTTGTAAGAGACTGGCAGAGCCTGCAGGCATGGGGTGAACCCGGCGGGCACTCAGGGTCGAGGTGGGGGCCATCGCTCCCTTGAGCCCTGAGGTCCCTACTGGAGGGTCACCCCACCAGGAGGAAGGTTGAATCGGCCCTCAGCATCAGTTCACCAGCACACAGCAAGCAAAGCCCCCCTTGTGGTGGGTGATGGGCAGGGGTCTTGGAAACCCACAGAAGAGGGCCGCCGTCTCCTAGCCCTGCACGGAATGACTCAGACGCGGTCTGATGGGGGAGATAGAAAGATGTCAGGGCTGTGTGGGGGGAAATCCCCGAGACGCTGTGTGAGGCAACAGTGGGCATCTGACCCACATGCTGGGGGAAGGGAGGGAGGGAAGGAAGACTTCCTGGAGGAGGTGCCATTTAAGCTAGACTGAGTAAAAAAGTGCCCAGAAAGGGCACTCCATCCGGGCATGGTGATGACCACAGCGTGGGGGTTGTGCAGGAAACTTCTAGCAACTGGAGTGGTGGCTGGGGGGAGGGTCGGTTGGTCAGCAGGGGCCACGCCGAGATGGGCCTGGAGTCCAGGATGAAGAGCCTGGCCTTTGGCCCAGAGGTTCCCCGCCCCTCCCAGGAGCAGCCAGGCTGCCGAGCTGCCACCGCAGCGGCCACAATTGCTGGGGAGAACTTGGCATCCTGTGTTTCTTTGAATCGCGTCTCCAGGAACAATGCCGCTTCCTGTGGGTGTCCCCCGGCCCCCGCCCCCCACCCCCATCCACCCTCATCCACCCTCATCCACCCGGCTCTTCCTCCTGCAGCCCCGTCTTCATCTGGGAAGTTAGGTGGCACTGGGGGGTCTGGGTCCCTAGAGGGCAGGGACTGGGCTGGTCTAGCACCACCTCGGCCCCAGGGTATGACCTCAAGCTGGTGCCTGTACCTCTCTGGACCTCAGTTTCCCCACTTGTGCCTCAGCTGGTAATGGCGCCCCCCTCCCAGGACTGTCAGGGAGAAGGGAGAGAATCTGTCTCTGCACTTTGCTCTCTGCCCAGGCGAGCTCTGTTATGCCCATTTTACAGAAAAGGAGATGGGGGTCTGAGTGGCGGTTGAGGCCCATAACCCGGCAGGCCTTTTTCCTCCCCTCCTGGTGGTTCAGGTGTGGGGAGATAGTTGGCCCAGCACCCCCACACCCCACAGCCCCGCCTTCTCAGATGCTGTTCTAGAGGCCTCCCTGCTCCCTGAGCTGAACAAAGGTGACTTTAATCTCTGTAGCCTTGGGCTGGGTTTTTAGGGCACCACCAAATCTCGGGAGAACAGGCCTCCCTTGATCTCATTAAGAAAGCATTTTCCTTTTAACCCAGCGGCACAGCGGAGCGTCTGCAGGGGCTGGCCCTCCGCCTCCCACGGCATTCCTGGGCTGAGATGCTGAGGAGGCCAAGGGGCTGGGTGCGAGTCTGTGCGTGCGGCTGCCCTGGGGTATCTATGGGTGCAGGAGGGGTGCACGCATGGAGAGGCAGAGACCCAGCCAGCCACCCCCTTAGCTCTGGGCCTCACCCGAGTCAGCATGTGCCCAGGGCTGGGTCAGGCTGGACAAGGATCTGAGACCACCAAGGTGTTCCAGGGCCTCTGCGGGACCTGTGTGTACAGGGAAGGAAACTGAGGCCGGGTGGGCATGGGGAGGTTGTCTCTTGGTCAGAGCATTGCCCATACACCCTGGGTTTTGCACTCAGCCATGCCAGGGTGCGCCGGGCGGCACGCGCTGGGCGGGCCGGGCAAAGGAAGGAACATTCCTCCCCGTGTGCCGGCAGGCCCAGGCGGGCGCTGGCGACTCCTGGCCCCACCCTGGCGGCCCCCTCCTCTTCCGCAGAGTGCTCCTGGCAGGGGGCGGCCGCGTGCTGGCACAGGTGGGCTGTGGCCTTGGGCAAGCCTGGGTTTCCTTGCCTGAGCAGTGGGAGGGGTGCTGGGCTGCATGGGTACTGGGAGCCCCTGACCTGGAGGCTGGGGACACCTGAGGTTTCCTGCTACAACCCTGCTGACCGTCAGCAACTTTACAGAACTTCAGGGCTGCTTTGGCTCAGGGTGGGTAACTTGTCCTGCAGGCCATCCAGGACAGGGGTGCTGGCCCAAAGGGCAGCTGGGGGTGGGGGCTGCACTGCTGGTGGCTGCACCCTACCCGCGGGACCTCGTGCCCAGCTCGGCCCGGTTAACCAGGCCAGCTGTATGGTAATGGGTGGTGTGGCCACTCTGCTTAACTCGGCCGAGTTAAGGCCGGCCCGGCGCCCCTCGCCCGCCAGCCCAGGACAAAGCTGGCGGACAATGCCTGGTGATTCATCCTCCCTCCGGGCCCTTTGTCCGCCAGGGCTTGGCAGCCGCCCAGCGAAGGCCTTTGTCCCCAACCCCGAGTGATTGAGACTTGGCTTCCCAAAGCCGACCTCCTCTGCCTGTCCCTCCCGCCACCCCGCCTGTCCCCTGCCTTTCCAGCAGCCTCCAAGTGGCAGGCCGGGTGCTGTGTCAATAAGGGTGTGTGCCCGCCAGGTGCACGGGGTGGGCCGGGAACCGGTTACCTGGCGGGCGGGCGAGGCGCACCACCTGGCTCGTGCCTCACCGCGCCTGGACGACCTTGGGCGCAGCTGTCGAGGTTGGGGAGTGAGGCCCCATCCCCCACCCCCAGGGCGAGTGAATGCGTGAGCCCTGGCCCAGATGGCACTGAGATGGGGCACTTGAGCCCTACTCTGCATGAGTGGGGAAACCAAGGCCCGGAGAAGGGTGGGTGTCAGTGTGACAGAGCTGCAGCTGCAGCAACTCCAGGGTGCCCCGTCCGGCCCCCACAGATGGCCCTGGGGTGGGGATGAAGGGCTGGCTGCTGAGGGCTGATTTTCTCCTTCCAGACATTCATCTTCACTGACGGGGAAGATGAGGCCCTGGCCAGGCACACGGGTGAGCCCTGGATTTGGGGCGGGAGGGGGCCCAGGCCTCCATCCAGAGCGGAACCCTCCCCCTCCAGCTCCTCTGGGCTGAGAGGTCACCAAGGGCAGGACAAGGAGGGCAGTTTACTCATGGGGTTTGCTCCACGCCCCGCCCCACCACTCGGGGCCCCCCAATTCTCATGCAAATGAAGCCCATTCAGCCCCCCGGGTCCCTTTGAGCCCAGGCAGCGGCAACAGGTGGCGGGTGCTGGGAAAAAACTGCCTGAATGGGCGGGGGCGGGGCTGCCCTGGAAGGGGGCTGGGCTGGGGGAGGGTCCGCAGGCCCGAGCCCCGAGCTAGGGTGGGGGAGGCTAGAGCCGGGCCCAGCTTGAACTAGGGGTCTTTTCTCGAGTCCCTGGGCCCCGCAGCGTCCCCCAGGCCAGGCCCCTCTCTGGGAGCCAACTCAGACCTACTCACAGCCACTCCCCCGTCCACAGGCAATGTGGTCATCACGAACTGCTCAGCCGCCCACAGCCGCCAGGCGCTGTCCTGCAAGATGGCCGTGGAGTATGACCACTTCATCGAGTCCGGCAGGAAGTGAGTGTGGCCCGGGGGGACCCCCATCTCCCTGCCCGAGCCTGGCAGCGCCCGCCCCGGCATGCCCTCCCCCGATGGCCCTGCCTTGTCCTCAGGTGGTTCTGCCACGTGGATGATGACAACTACGTCAACCTGCGGGCCCTGCTGCGGCTGCTGGCCAGCTACCCGCACACGCGGGACATCTACATCGGCAAGCCCAGCCTGGACAGGCCCATCCAGGCCACGGAACGGGTCAGCGAGAACAAGGTGGTGAGTGCCTGCCCTCTCCCAGTCCCCCACGCCCACGCGGAGCGCACACCCGAAGTGGGGCGGGGGACAGCAAGGGGCAGCAGCACCCCGGTCTCAGGACACCTTCTCCCTTCTCCCAGCGTCCTGTCCACTTCTGGTTTGCCACGGGCGGCGCTGGCTTCTGCATCAGTCGTGGGCTGGCTCTGAAGATGAGCCCGTGGGCCAGGTGAGTGCCCTGCACAAGTTAGGCCAGCCGGGTCCCGGGCTCCTCGCCATCGTGGGGCCTGGCTTGGTTCATCTTCCCAGCCGCAGGGAGTCCCCAGCCTCCTCCTCCATTTACTGTCTATATTCCACTTCCCTCTGGGTTTCAGAGGGCAGCTGTGTTTATGGCGGCTGCCCCCAAGCCCAACCTGCTCAGAGCAGCCAGGGGGGCCATGAGCACCCCAGGCACCATCCAGCAGGACTCCTTCCTGCACCCAGATTCCCGCCACAGAGAGCCACCAAGCACAGGAGCCGTGTAGGGAGTGTGCCCTGGCTGTGGCCAGGGGAGGCAGAGGGAGCTGCAGCTCAGAGGCTCCTCTCTGAGTGCAGCGCCTTTGCCTAGTGCGGCCTCCCCAGCTCCCAGCAGATGGCTCCTGCCTCTGCTCACCGGTCTGGGCCCTTCCCTCCCACAGCGGGGGTCACTTCATGAACACTGCCGAGCGGATCCGGCTGCCTGATGACTGCACCATTGGCTACATCGTGGAGGCCCTGCTGGGTGTGCCGCTCATCCGCAGCGGCCTCTTCCACTCCCACCTGGAGAACCTGCAGCAGGTGCTCACCTCAGAGCTCCACGAGCAGGTGCACCATCCTCCGGGCCCCGCCAGGACTCGGAGCACAGGAAGGGATGCGTGGCTGCCTAGAGGGGCGCAGTGGGTGGGGGTACTGTTCCAAACAGGGAGGCCAGGCAGCGCATCACTGTCAGCCGGGGGGTCATTCCTGCCATGAGCTGAAAGCTGTTTACGGTGGCTTGTTTTCCTACCTGCCGTCTCTTCTCTTCGCTGCGATGCGCCTATTGTGTGTATTTTGCCCACGGCTGGCGATGCAGCCGGCCCCAGCTGGTCCCCAGTTTGAGACCTTATTCCTGGGGTGTGCAATGCAGGTGTCCTTCCAGGTCCAAGGGAGGCCAAGGCAGGGCCATTGCCTCACTCAGAGCTGTGTGGCCAGCCTGGGGCAGGGCCTGGGGATGTCAGGGCCCCTCCCTGCATCACTTCGCCCCCTCCCCACAGGTGACACTGAGCTACGGTATGTTTGAAAACAAGCGGAATGCCGTCCACGTGAAGGGGCCTTTCTCAGTGGAGGCTGACCCATCCAGGTGAGGAAACGCTGGCCCAGATGGGCTTGCGTAGGGTGGTGTAGGGGCATCAGGGGACCTCGCCGAGCTGCAGTGGGGTCTAAGCAGCATGGCTCTACACAGAGGTGACCCCCCCGGAGTCCTGTTTGCTTGGGGTGGGGCCGCCAGTGCTGTGGGACTGCAAATGGGAGCTCAGCACCTTCCTGCCACCCACACAGACCAACTCCTGCTCTGTTCCCACAGGTTCCGCTCCATCCACTGCCACCTGTACCCGGACACACCCTGGTGTCCCCGAACTGCCATCTTCTAGCAGCCATGGCTGAGACCCAACCCCTGGGCGCCCCTGGTATCCAAAGGGCCCAGTGACCCTGTTGCGCTGCCCTGGCCTCGGCATTCGAGGCTCCCCCAGGGCCGTGCCTGTGCGTGTGCGTGTGCATGTGTGTGTGTGTGTATGCGTGTGTGTGTGTACTGTATGCCCACCCAGGTAGCAGGCTGCTGGGCAGTTCTGCTCTGTGGAGGGGCGGGCACAAGCGCCACTTATGTGCCTCTGCTCCGAGAGCCAGTGGGCTGCAAGGCCTGCTTGGAGGGAGGATTTGTGTGTCGGAGGCCACTCTGATGATTTTTGGATCTTTTTTTTTTTTGAGACGGAGTCTCGCTCTGTTGCCCAGGCTGGAGTGCAGTGGCCGGATCTCAGCTCACTGCAAGCTCCGCCTCCCGGGTTCCCGCCATTCTCCTGCCTCAGCCTCCTGAGTAGCTGGGACTACAGGCGCCGCCACCTCGCCCGGCTAGTTTTTGGTATTTTTTTAGTAGAGACGGGGTTTCACCGTGTTAGCCAGGATGGTCTTGATCTCCTGATCTCGTGATCTGCCCATCTTGGCCTCCCAAAGTGCTGGGATTACAGGCTTGAGCCAGCACACCCTACCGATTTTTGGATCTTTCTGCAGCTGTGGGGCTCCGGGCTACTTTGCAGGGATGCGTAGATGCCTTTCTCTTTCTGCCGAGCACAAGCTCTGTGCTGGGGGTACCTGCGCCCTGAAATCCTGACTCCTGTGTCATAGCCCCAAGTCCAACTCACTGAGCCGTGTTCATTGCAGGGGAGGCTGGGTCTGGGGGTGCATGACCCAATCCCCTTCCTTCTGGCCTGGGCACTGTGGCTTAGAGTAACAGTAGCCACCGCCCATTTCCAGTGGCCCCACAAAGCCCCCAGTGGCCCCACAAAGCCCCCAGTGGCTGGCTGTCCAAACAGTGGCTCCCCTTCCAGCTCTTCTGGGTGGGGAGTCTTCCAGGCCCCCTCAGAGGTCTTCCCTTTGCCTCCCCAGGACAGGGTGAGTCAGAGCTCAACATTTAATCTCCTCTCCAAAGTAGAGAGCAAGTCGCCCACAGTGGGCGTGTCTGTAAATATTGTGACAGTATTTTTTTACTGTGCTGTTTTTTTGAAAGGGGGTGGGTAAAAAGTAGGGTGTTCTTGTTTTTTTGCTTGGGGGATGGGGGTGGGGGAGGGTCTTATTTTATCTTATCTTTTCTGTGGATCAGAAAAAACGGAAGCCAAACTCGGGGTCATCTTTGTTGTTGAAGCTGAAGTGGGACTGTCTGGCACTCTGTGTATTTATGCGTTCCAGCATCTGGAACCTCCCATCCCTGCCCTCCCCCTGCGTAGCTGCCACCTCCCTGCGGGGCCCAGCGTGGCTCACCTGCCCCGTGGGGTGTGTTTCTTGTCGTTTTTCTCTTTGCAAAGACATAGCTAGGAAAGCGAATGATAAGGGAAAAGTTCTCAGGGAATTTAAGTGTTGTTGCTATGGTGACGTCCTTTTGCTGTGAATAAAGGTGCTCTTTGCAGCAACCCTGGGGGTCGTGGTCTTGGCTGGAGGTGGGGCCTAAGCCGCAGGGCAGCTGGGGGAGGGGGGTCGGGCACACAGGTGAAGGGGAGGCTTGGCCTTGGGTGCACCGCATGGAGCAGGTAGATAGGAAACCCTTAGAGACAACTGTTTTGGAATGAAACCTGGCGTCACAATAGCTGCCTGCTGGTGACTACAGGTGTGGCCCGCCCAGGGTCAGGTGGCCGCTAGTGGGTGGGCCCTGTGCTTCTGGGAGGAACAGGTCTAGGATGCTGGGGGCTCTAGGTCGCAGCCAAGAGCGCAACCCCAAGGCTCTGGCCACTGGGGAGCTCAGCCCCTGCAGGAGGGACAGTGACTCCTATGACCAGGCCTGGGACCTCCTTATCCACCTTCACTCCTGCCACAAGCTCGGAGAGTCCACACCATCGCCTCACTTTACAGGTGGGGAGACCGAGACCCGGAGCAGCTGATGTCCAAGGTCCGGTAGCCAGGCTGGTGGGCTGGGGAGGTGCTCAGACTCCAAGCCAGGCAGGCCGTGGGTCCAGCCGCCCCGCAGCTGGTAACGCTGTGCCTCCCTCTCCTGTGAGGTGGCCCCAGGCCCGGCGCCCGCTCAGGGGTGGTGGGAGGAGTCCTGGAGAGCAGGAGCCGTGCCAGAGCCCCCACTGCAGCTGGTCCCAGCCCCTGCAGAGATCCAGACCCTTGTTTTCTAAACACAGCAGCTCTGCAGTGCTTTTCCTTCCTCAAATCCAGCCTTTGAGGGTGACTGAGGAGGGGAGGGGTGCCGCAACCTCCACGGGGATTCCCTCCCCTCACCCTCCTGGCAGCCCTGGGGCGGCTCACTTCCTCTTCACCATGAGCCCCCACCCCCTCCCTGGGGCTTGCACCCTTAGCCTGGCACTGCCCTGGCCGTGCCCCCTGCAAGTTCCTGCTCTGGACTGACCCCCTTCCCCAGGGCTCCAGGTCCCCCTCCTGCTGCCTCTGCGTCCCCTATTCTGCTCCAAGGAGACAACACACTATGAGAAGTGTCCCTCTTTGTGGGGGTACCTTGCCCTCCCCCATCGCTGCCCCTTCCAGATGAGTGCTGATGTGCTGAATGGGCCTGCAGAGACCCCTCACTCTAAACCTGGCTGGGGGCTGCCCTGGCCTTGGGGGCGGCTGGCAGGGTTGTGACCCCACCTTGGCCTTGGCCGGTTCTGAGTCAGCAGAGCAGCTGCCCAGGGGGTGTGGGCAGTGATGGGGATGGTGGGAGGATGGAGGGCCCTCACCATCACACAGCCTAACCCCCGTCTGGGTGGCTGTGATCCTCCCTGGGCACCCACCACGTGCCCACCCACTTCCCACAGGACAGTGCAGGCCCCTCTTCTGAACAAGGAAGCTGAGACTCCGGGGTGGGGCGGCGGGGGGTGTCTTGACGGAACAGGCTGCGGGCAGAGGCTCCTGGCCTCCTTCCTGCCCGGCTGAGTCAGAGGCTTGGGGCCTTCTGCCCTGGCCCCAACGCTGCCCCCGCCTGCAGCTGGCATTGCCTTCCCACAGAGCTGGTGGGGCCCTGGGGTTGGAGGTGTGGCTGGACCCAGGGATCAGAGAGACCCATGGACACAGCTGTGGGGGCCCCGCCGGGGCTTGGGGAGTCCCCATTAATGTTCAAATGTCCCTGTGTGTGGAGCGGAGTGGGAGTGGGGGCTGAGTGGGCACTGGGGAGAGCAGAGGAGCAAGAAGTGGGGTGGGGAGGAAGCCCGGCCCCTCCTGGGGCCTCGACCTCTCCATCTGAGAAATGGGAACAAAGGTAAATGCAGTCCCCGGGTGCTGGAGGTCAGGGGGCGTCTTGGGAGGTGCACGGGCTGACGCATCTGGACCCCTTCCTCTTCCAAGCTGAGGGAGGGACATTTCTCTGCCCTCAAAAGGGGAAGCAGGCCCAGCAGTGTCTTAGGGGAATGAGGTAGCCTGACCTCTTCCATCCACCGCCCCCCACCCCCCAGAAGGTGACTCACCCAGTGGGGGAGGTGAACTCATTCCTCCCCCAGGTACATTCTGGGGACAGCTGTGTCCCACCCACCAGTGGTGCCATCACACCAGATTAGAGGCTGGTCAGAAAGGGGCCTGGCTGGTCCCTGGGGCTCCATGTCCCCCCAGTCTAGCCTAGCCAGGCCCCCCCTTCCCAAACTACTGATCATTTATGAGGCTTTCAAAACAAGGAAAACTGCAACCACAGGGGCTGCTGGGTGCTCAGCCAGGGTGGCAGACCTCAGCCCCCACCCCTGCTTCCGTTCTGCCAGGCGAGTGCCTGGGGAGCCCCAAGGCTGCTTGGGGTCTGGGAGGGGCTGCTAGGGTGGGGCACCTCCCCGCTCAGTTGAAAGGAACTTCCCTTCCACTGGGGTCATCAGGGCCAACTTCCTGGAAGAGGTGCCCCTGAGCCGAAGCAGGAAGGCTTTGTCAAGATGGAGTAGGGAGAGGAGGGGCCTTCCAGGTCTCGGCACAGCCTGGGCAAAGTTGCAGAGGTGGGATCCGCTGGGAGGATTGGAAGCCTGGGAGGGAAGACAAGCAATGGAGCTGGGTCTCGTGATGCCCCCTCCCCAGTCATAGGCAACTAGGGCTTTCCACAGGCTCAGAGGGGCCAGGGGCCGGGCTGCTATGAGACTTAGCCAGTCTTGCCGCATGGGCCTGGGGTCAGAGGGAAAGGAGGGGCCAGGGCTAGGTCCATCTTCGTGTCTGTCAGACCGATGGGCAAGTCTTGCTGCCTACTGGGCCCATGTACCCACCTAGCCTCAGCCTTCTCAAATATTCTCCGGGGTGACCCCCTGCTTCTGAGCCCAGCCCCACCTTCTGAGTCCAGAATTGGACACGCAAGAAGGCACTTGGGGCCAGGTGTGGTGGCTCACACCTGTAATCCCGGTATTTTGGGAGGCCAAGGTGGAAGGATTGCTTGGGGCCAGGAGTTTGAGACCAGCCTGGGCAACATAGTGAGACCCCATCTCTACAAGAAAATTAAAAATTAGACAAGCAGGTGGCACACACCTGAGGTCTTAGCTTCTCAGGAACCTGAGCGGGGAGGATTGCTTGAGCCCAGGAGTTCGAGGCTGCAGTGAGCCATGATTGCACCTCTGCACTCCAGCCTGGGTGACAGAGTGAGATCCTGTCTCTGAATTTTTTTTTTTTTTGAGACGGAGTCTCCCTCTGTCGCCCAGGCCAGAGTGCAGTGGCCGGATCTCAGCTCATTGCAAGCTCCGCCTCCCAGGTTTACGCCATTCTCCTGCCTCAGCCTCCTGAGTAGCTGGGACTACAGGTGCCCGCCACCTCGCCCGGCTAGTTTTTTGTATTTTTTAGTAGAGATGGGGTTTCACCATGTTAGCCAGGATGGTCTCGATCTCCTGACCTCGTGATCTGCCCGTCTCGGCCTCCCAAAGTGCTGGGATTACAGGCTTGAACTACCACGCCCGGCCTTTTTTTTTTTTTTTTTTTTTGAGACAGTCTTGCTTTGTTGCCCAGGCTGGAGTGCAGTGGTGCAATCTCAGCTCCCTGCAACCTCTGCCTCCCAGGTTCAAGAGATTCTCCCACTTCAGCCTTCCAAGTAGGTAGGATAAGAGGTGTGCGCCACCACACCTGGCGAATTTTTGTGTTTTTAGTAGAGACAAGGTTTTGCCATGTTGCCCAGGCTGGTCTCAAACTCCTGGCCTCAGGTGATCCTCCTGCCTTGGCCTCCCAAAGTGCTGGGAGTACAGGCATGAGCCACTGTGCCTGACCTCTTTAATTTTTTTAAAAAACAGAAGGGCTGTGCTTGGTGGCTCATGCCTCTGCTCCCAGCCCTTTGGGAGGTCAAGGCAGGAGGATCACTTGAGGCCAGGAGTTTCAGACCAGCCGAGGAAA